CTCCCGTCGGAGGGTGCTACTTAGGGAGACTTTACGGGCACGGAGCGTGCTCAGGGGCACTGACATGGGAGCGGGTCCTACCGGTAGCGCAGCCTCCTCAGGGAGCAGCTTTCTACATCCAGTACCAGCAGCTGCGGCCCAGCACTCGCGCTCTCTAAAGCCCTGGGCGCTGGAGTGTGTCACACTGTGGCTCCCCCCTCCCCAACACAGACACACACACACCCATCCCTTCATACCCCCCTCGTGCCTGTTTTCCTTGCCTGCAAACCTCTGGGCGCTGGCTTCTTCCCTGCGGCCTCTCTGGGCGCTGCCTTCTCCCCACGTCCCTTCTCTTCGGTTTGTGCAGCAGCCTCTAACTAATAGTGGTTCCCAAACTTTTCAGCATCACGCCTCTCTTTTGATTTTTGAGAAATCCTCATGCCCCCCCCTCCAGAAAAATAGCAAAACTTGGGGTGGGATTGATGGGGGGTGTGTGTGGCTTGGTCGCTTCATTCACCCCCTGGAAGTTCTTCATGCCCCCCAGTTTGGGAACCCATGAACTAGATCAACCCAGAGAGACTCAATGAGTGGATGGGCCTTGTTGAGTTTCTAATAAGTAAGCTTACTGTGCTTTCTTACGATCTAGACCTGTAAGCATTGTGGGTTTAATCTTACACGTTTGAAGTTAAGCTCACATATTAGTGGTTGCAGGATAGAGAGGCTTTATTTATTCATTTTTCTACTCTCACTTGCTTATTTGCATATCTCCTAATCTGTTCGTCTTTCCATAACTTTGCTCATTTCAGGGTGGAGACCTTAAGGTGCCTACTGTAGAGAATGGCATTGAATATGAACCTTATGGGTTACGTAGTCAAGCAATTATAATCTTATTTAACCTGGTTTGGTAATCAGATGCACTAATGATTACAAGAGAAATGGGAAACTAAATGTCTAATAAGAAAAACACAAGTTAGAGGTACAAAATTATGAATTGTTGCCAGTCTTAGTGCTTCTTCGTCAGTTCTGTCATATAGCTCATGAATTAGAGAAGTCATTATGCTTTTGAGCTAAAATAGATGCATCTTTTCATTGTCCCCAGCAAGTTGTCTCTTTTTTCTGTATTTCAGTGTCACTGCTATGGAAGCCAAAGGTAAAAAGAGATTCACAGGAAAAAGTGGAAAAGCACCACAAAGAAAAAATAAATTTAAGAAAGATAATGGTAAGACTGCAAAGAATAATGTATAATAAATCTGTTCTTATTGAAGGGTGGAGAATGCAACAGATACAGCAAACTCAAATTAATTTGCATAAGCAGATACTTGTATGAACAAAATGTAAAATATTGAAAAAGAAGAGCTGAGATTGCACAACAATCCACTTGTGCCAACGCTTCAGCTTTGAAAATCTGATTTAAAATACTACTAGCTTAAAATTGAAACTGTTCTCATTTTTGTCCACATTTTCCCAAATTGCCATCCATGCTGAAGAATGTAGTCACTTTTCATTCTCTGCTTAAGAAAGTATTTCACAATTGGAATAACAAAATTGCTGTACAATTTTGAGGATTGAGGCACTTCAGCTCAAGCTGGTGCTCATCTCTTCACTTTCAAATGCATTCATTTTTATTAAATTTGAGGGGAAAAATATTCAGCATTCTCACCAGATGTCAGCTGTTTTCCGATGAAAGCAACATTAATGGCTTACAATAATAATTAATATTGGCAAGAACAGTTCTTTATTAGGTTAAAGAAGCATACATCTAAAAAATTTCATTGCCAGTTACTTTTCCTAAGGCTATGTCTACATTACATGTTTGTCAGACACACACCTGACAAAAGTTTTACTGCTGGTATAGACAGTGCTCTTGTCAGTGGAAGATGCTCTCCTGTTGACACAGCTTCTTCCGCTATTGGGGATGGTGTTATTTTGCCTACAGGAGAACTCTGTCTTGCCTGCAAAGAGCAGTGGTACAGGTGTGTTCTGCTGTACGGTGCACAGTGTAGGCATCACCTAAGAGGGGTTTTTTGTTTTGTTTTTAAGGAGCAAAGCAACCTAACTACAACTGAGAGGATGAGTTGTATGTAAGATGTTTGAACGTTCTTTCAGTGTTCTACATGCTGGCAATTTAGGCTGTCATTTAACTGTGTATCACAGATATTTTAAGTGTTTTCTAGAGGTTTTTAATAAAAAAGTAAAAATTGTCTGTTAAATAGGAATGTTAAAATTAGATTAACCAACTAATCAAATAGTCAATGGAATTTCCCTCAACTAGTCGATTAGTTGATAAGGGCACTTCCGCTTTGAAATGTAGCAACAGCTGGCTGGCTCTTGCTACATTTCAAAGAAGTGCTGTCAGGTGTTCCTCCTTTAAAACACCAAGATTGAAACACCAAGTGGAGCCCAGGGCCAGCTGGGGAGTCCCCTGCTGACTCAGGCTCCATGTGGTGCTTCTGCTTTGAATATACAAGAGCCCCAGCCGCTGGTTGTACGTTTCAAAGTGGAAGCACCCCCATGGAGCCCAGGGTCAGCTGGGGACTCCATGCTGGCCCCAGGCTCCATGTGCAGTTTCAGTCTTCGAAATGTACAAGAACCTCAGTGGGGACACTTGTACATTTCAAAGGTGAAATGCTGCTGCTGAGCCCCTGCCCCTTCCCACGGAGCTGGGGGGGGGACCGGCTTTTAAGCTGGCTCCCCTCAGCAACCCCCCTTCTCCCCTCGCTGCCTCTTTCTGATAGAGGCAGCAAGGGGAATGGGGAGTGAATAGTCAATTAGCCACTTACATCCCTACTGTAAACTGTGTTGCATTCTTGTATTTTGCAGTCCTTGCTGTCAAACAAGCCCTTTTGAAGGTGTGCAGACTTATCACAATTTGCTTTCCCACCATTGCACACAACACTGAGCCATTTATATGCCATTTATGCCTGGTTGCTTTAATTGGTGGAAGTTTTCTAAGCATCAGAGATTGAGCAATTACCATGTCTAGGGACACCAGAGACAAACCAGAGATAAACCTACACCCATTCACATTTTACCAATTAGGCTACTTAACATGTTTATAGATGTTTGCAGGATTGAGGCCTTATCTCTTACTACAAATTAGGCAACTTTGTTCCTCTGTTCACTTTAGTGTTGCATTGCATTTATATGAAAGACTTAAGGCAAAACTAGGAGAAAGATCATAAGACTATGACGAAAAGCTAGGTGGGAGGGATATAAAATTGTCATAGATTTAATAAGAATGGTAGTGGCTTTTCAGGATCTGTGTAAGCATGCATGGATTTTGGTATATTATGTGCAGTCTAATTGTTACAAAATAATTTTAAACACTTTTAATAGTTATTGAATCTTGGAAATAGTATCAGTTCTAGGACTGTGTCTTTTTCAGCCTAATTCTGTTTTTGTTGTGCATAGATTCTGGTCCACCAAAGAAGTTTCATAGCACAGGAGGTAAAGAAGGAAAGCCTAAATTCAGATCCAAGAAGTCTGAGAGAGGAAACAAAAATCTTGGTAAGACTAGTGTGAAACAATTCAAGAGTAAGCAGCAACCAGGAAAGTTCACAAAGAAGAGAAAATTCCAGCAAGACAAGGAGGGTGGTGAGTAATAATAATAAAAAACAATGTATTTTTTTATTTTGAAGTGTTATATCTAGTCTAAAGTATACACTTACAATAAAATGGAAGCTTATTTTCTTTCAACAATATATATATTCTTAAAATGTTAATAGATTTAAGTGGATCGTGACTCTGCTATAATTGCTGTGACTTTTTAACTGCATAACTGTTCTCTGTTTTAATGACCATAGGCATAAGTCGTGCCTATGCACCTGTTACCCTGAGAATCTCATAATAGAAATTTGAGATAGGGATGGTCACATCCAACCTGGTTGTGGAGCCAAGTTGCTTGTACTGGAAATGTAGAGGAAGAAGGGAATTGTCTTGCTATTATTTTCCAAATCATCAACTTTCACTATTTTGAATACTGAAAAACTGTAACTTTGAAAAATGCTTCTCTGTAGCACCCTATTTGACTTTTTATGGAAAATATTATTTCAGCCTATTTAAACAGATTACTATACCAGTCATGTGACCTGCAGTCTGTGGCAGTGAATATTCCAATTTTAATATAGGCAGCCCACTGGTAAATTAAATTTATTGCCTGATTTCTTGGTTATGGGATGATGTAAACTGCTGCCTAAGTTTGTAGCGACAAAGGGAACTTCAAGTACTAAATAACTAATCTAACGTTATGACTATTTCTGTCATTTGCCTTTCAATCTTACTGCTAATTTTTACACACATCTGATGATACCTCTTTGAATAGTGGGGCCTTTTGGAGATATTCTCCTTTGGAGGAAAGATCCCGCTTTCATTCAAGAACACCATCTGCTGGCTAATGACTGGTGTTGGTATCAAAATGTGAACGTCACGTGTTTTTGTCTTGTGCAATGCTTCTAACAATGATAGCCAAAACTTGAAGAACAAAGACTTATCTTCATTTATACTGTTGGGCTGTAGTCCAGTAGCATTTTTTTGCTAGTGAAATCAGTGTTATATACTGGATGCATTTTTGTAAATTGACTTTTCTGTGTGTGCTTATATAGACACAGTGGTGCAGCAGGCCCAGCCAGTCTAGGTGGTCCTTACCGGGTAACCGGTTAACTCTTTACTTTCCTAGTTCTGAATATAAAGGGCTGTCACAAATGAAGTATGCTTAATAACTGAGGGAAATTGGAGGCTTATGGCAGCTTTTTCAGACTTTTAGCTTTGATTTAATTTGGGGAATACTCCTCTTTCAAAAACTTTATAGAAATAGAGGTGGTGGAGTTACATTCATATTTTTTAATGTTTTATCTTAAAACAACTGTAAGTCTCCAGACTTGATCCAGTAGAGCTAAACTGTTAAATAATGTTATTGTTAAGAGCTGGAGCTTTTATTTCATCAATTCTGTTGGGCTTCAACTGAACTGTGCTAGTTAGCAACCCTAAGCCTTGCCCACTGACTTTTCACTTCTGGGAATCTGTATTGAATATAGTGATTAATTTTGGTATGAGAAGATTAAATTAAAAGCAAACATCGGCCAACTTTTTCTGTACCTTGAAGTTCATTTATGACATCTCATTTGAAAAATACTTTTAAAGTATTAATGTTGATGTATAGCAGTCTTTAAGCTTGTAAAATCTACTGAGGATGCCTACTGAATGAAAGGATTACGCATGCAAGAAGGCTTTACAAATAAAATCATACTGGGTGATTGTTAAAGCTGGTATATTTAAACCTATAAGTGAACTCATCTGTTAAGAATCTTTTTATTTTGTTTTTGTTTTTCCTCCAGTGCTTTACATACTTGAACAGATGCCAATAAAATAAATTAACATATTACAAGGAACAAATTTTACAAGACACAAAATCTGTGTATAAGAATAGTTATCATTTATTAGAGGGCAGTGTATCAAACTGATTGTGGCCTTTAATTGCACTTCTTTCCTCTTTTCATTGTTTTTGATCTACATTCCTTTATAAAAGGAGGGTGCCAGAGGTATTGATTGGAGGCAGATGCAGTGTTTGCAGTTGGGAATGGATTCTTTTCTAACACTAGGTTTTTGAATTCTGACTGTTTATCTCAAGGATATGAAAGGCAAGAATGCCACTAAGTTTAATTTTTATGGGTAAATAGTCCTTGTTAGAATCTAAGATATCACAAAAATGGTGATTTTGTTATATTTGTAAAAATACACCCACCGGGGGGGGGGAGTAGAGTCTAGGGCAGTGTTTCTCAACTTTTTTTTTATAAAGTACCCCTTGAAAAAATAAGTACCCCCCAGCACCTACAGTTTTCAGACACACAATTTTTTCGTACCATTGCAACACATTTGTTTAAACAACTTAATCGTAGCCACAGGGTGTAAAAAGTACAAAAATAATAAAGTGTTGTAAAACTTAAAACAAAACTCAGTTTTCTCCAAACTTCAGTTGTGTTGATGTACTCCTGCAGACTTCTCTTAAGTACCCCTGAGGGTACTCGTACCACTGGTTGAGAAACACTGGCTAGGGAATGAAGAGAGAAGGGATGATATATTGTGTTATGACTTGTGAAGTCACTAGATGGGCTGTAGGGGCTAGGGATATAAAATACTACTTAATTTGTAAACCAGTTAAGCATATTTAACCAGTTGACTGATTAAAGGGAACGGGCCACTCCCTCAACTCATAATTTACGGCAGAGAACTCTCACCAGCAGTAGTCACTTTAGTCAAGAAAAATCCAATGGCCTAGTTCAGTGGTGGGCAACCTGTGAGTCACAGGCCACGTGCGGTCCATCAGGGTTCTATGTGTGGCCCATGAGACATTTTATTTACTGTTGTCCATGCGCTGGGTTGCCAGATTTCTGTCTGCGTAGGTTTTTTTTTTCCCTAATGGTATTACTGAAGTGACAGGCATATAAAGAGAGGGCACATAAAGTGAGGTGTTTGCTGAGTGTACCCAACACTGATTGAGTAGATGCACAGGGAGCAAGCACATGGCTCTTACAAAGCACTGCTATGGTTCAAACAGCAAACTCCTTAAATTCTATGTACACAAGCACAGTTAGCAGAACTACTCTATCCCGGGAGACTATCTTGTTTATGTCCATTCATGTGGCCCTCTCACTAGCCTAGATTGCCCATTGCTGGCCTAGTAATTAGAACTCTTGTTGGGGATGTTGGAGGTAATTTCCACTTGCCTGGAGCTTAATCTCCACTTTGGCTGAGTTGGAGTAGGGACTTAAACTCAGGTCTTCCACCTCCCAGGTGAGTTCCCTAACCAGTGGGCTTTGGAATATTTTGTAGTGACTCTCTTAGCCTCTTCTATTGATACTTTAACTTCATCTCTCACTTTTCAGGTATATTCTCAGAGAGCTACAATCTGTTCTCTAATGAGTGTTGACCACAAATGCATCCTCCGTTCTGTGTGCAGACCAGTCAGATAGATGTGCTATTTTCTCTCTTATCAATGGAAACACAGGTTTTACCATTAGTTGGCATTTTAGCAGGAATTTTCTGAATGCCAGTGGCACCTAAATGTTGGCCTTAGACAACTAAAGGGTACAGTTAAATGTGCGTGTCCCCTTCCCTCCGCCCTGTGAGTGCCAGCCACCCCAAGACTTTACTATGTATTAACCATTTCAGATGAACTAGGTAGGCAGTCAAGGGAAGAAGCTTAGCTCATGACAATTGTCCTAGTTCTATTGACTTCATTGGACTTCAAATGCCTCTCAGTGACTTACTTTGTTATGAACAATGTCAATAGGATCAGCACCTAAGAAGCCTAAATGGAGTGATTTAAAAAAGAAAAAGAAGGAATTAAAGCAGAGCAGACAACTTAATGACAAAACAAATTATGATGTAATCATCAAATCAAAACACATATGGGAAACAGTGAGAAGGTAATAATGGCTCTTTTCATACAGTTCTTTTGAATGTACTCATGCAAATTATCTTGAATTGGAATTCTGTGGAGGTCTCATGTTAAATTTTGTTGACAGATAATAGAAATAGTCTTGAGGCACCTGTAAGAATGTATAAGTGGGCGTAAATTCAGGGGAGATCTTTTATATTAAGATAACTTGAGGCATGATCCTGTAAAATGCTGAGGACCTTAGAGTCCCTCTGGCGGAGGCTCTTTGAAATTTTATGATGTGTCTTTACCCCTAGAGCAGGGGTGGCCAACCCATTACAGGTGAAGAGCCAAAATAGTTACGCATATACCACAAAGAGCCAGGGGGGAAATGTTGTCAAGCTACCACCCCCCAAATCCCAACCCCTAGCCACAGTTGGTTATGGGGGAGGAAAAAAAGACTGCCCCTTTAAGAAACGCAGTTAAAGGCTTTTTGCCCACATCAGGCTCCTGCCAGCAAACATCATCTTGAAGATGCCATTTTGAATGGCCGCGCTGGATGGCTCTCCTGCCCCAGTGAGCGCCGGGAGGCAGGAGCCGTTTTCAGGGCGCAAGCCGCACTTTCAGGGGGGAGGGAAGAGCCACATGCGGCTCACGAGCCGCGGGTTGGCCGTAGCTGCCCTAGAGATTAAAATATACCGACAATTCTGGTGAAGACTTTCATAAATGAGTACCTAAACATGACTTGTGGGCGTTCATTTTTTTAAATTCTTTCTTTCTTTCTTTCTTTCTTTCTTTCTTTCTTTCTTTCTTTCTTTCTTTCTTTCTTTCTTTCTTTCTTTCTTTCTTTCTTTCTCACAACTTTGTTATTTTTGTATTTCCAAAAAAATTGCTCTCATATTGAAGATTTTCCCATTTGTCTGTTTTTGTTTGTAGGAAAAACTGTGACAAGGAAAAGCGAGATAAACTAATAAAGGAACTACATAAACTGCTTCAGGGGAAAATTAAAAGTGTAAGAAATGCAGAACAAATGTATTTAAAAATCAAAATGGGCAAGTTGATAACCCCCTTTGTATGAATAGTGAAAAAGTGTGTTGCGCTAAATGACCTTTATGAAGCACATGGTCCATATAATGCAACCCTGTTTATCCAGAAGTTGGACGTTGTAAACATCCAGATAGAACAAGGTTTCAATGAATGAGGAAACTGAGTTTGGAAAGGTTGCATTCTGTGTTCCTAGTCTTTGAGGATAATAGTACCAGCATGCTTTGCAGATCAACTGACATTAAAGAGAACTTGTTAGCTGGCATCCTAATCTGTAAAATTCCCATTGGGTGTAGCTCAATTTCAGTTAGCTTGCAGTTTCTGTTAGAGTTGTAGCGAATTTTTGCAGTTGAGTTTCTTAAAAACCTACATCAAAGTTAGTGCCTTGGTGCTCATTCTTGCCATTATCTTTTAAACTCTAGCAGTCTCATTATTTTCACTTCACCCTTTGGATGTGTGTTTTCTGTGAATTATAAGGAGGCATAGTTAACTGTTAGAAAGATTGTCTAAAAAGATTGTCTATTAAATGGCCACCATTCTTGTCTGTCTGTCTCATGGGATTTTCAACTTTCACACATACATGCATATATCTATACAAACATGGGTGTGCATTGTATTTGTATTGCAAGGGTTGGAAGGGCTTCTGCAGAGTTCTGGAGTGGCTTAGAGTGATAGGGCATTTGCCTGGGAAACACAGGGGCTACGTCTACACTGGCCCCTTTTCCGGAAGGGGCATGTAAATTTCAGCAGTCGTCGTAGGGAAATCCGCGGGGGATTTAAATATCCCCCGCGGCATTTAAATAAAAATGTCCGCCGCTTTTTTCCGGCTTTTAAAAAAGCCGGAAAAGAGCGTCTAGACTGGCCCCGATCCTCCGGAAAAAGTGCCCTTTTCCGGAGGCTCTTATTCTTACTTCAAAGTAAGAATTTTGGATATGGGTTGGTGGAGCGGTGAATGCTTCCAATCATCCACTCTTATTCTGTCACCATCACAAACTACAAGGGACTACGGTGGATAGAGCAGTTGTTACTTTGCGCCAACTCAGCCATTTATGGCACTCAGTCGAGTACGGTCTTTAGAAGGCGTGGAGATCAATGAAATCAATCCAAACAAATTAATAGGTGACAGTGTTTGTCATAAAGACTCCTTACAAGGATTACGATAAAAATGTAGCCGTGTTAGTCTGGTGTAGCTGAAACAAAATACAGGACTATTGTCAGCCGATGGTCAGGGCAGTGAGTGGTGTGTGTGTGTGTGCTATACACCCGAGACTTCAACTGCTGAGACCGGGGTCCCTTGCAGTGGGCAATCTGGAAGAGGTTGACGGGCACCCCACCCAATAAGTGTGCAGGATGAGCTTATTACACTTCAGATTTTAGCTGCTAGAATCTGTGATTCCTTCGCAGCGGGCAGCCTGGGG